ACTGTCCAGCCGGACTCTTTGCGGACCGAAAACGGACTGATGCCGGACTAAACTTTTTCGTACGGGAAGTTTGGATGGGGAGGGGGTGCGGGGCACGGGGATGTCGACGTCCAGCTTCGCATTATAGTCTTTTCAAGGGGTGAGCGCAGAGAGAGACAAGATAAGACCTCTCTCTTTCTCTCTCCCTCTCACTCAGCGACAGCAAGGCGCAGGGGGAAGACGCCGTATGTGGAGCAGAACACAAACACCTCACCCCCCCCCCCCACCCTTTCGCGCTCCGCCATTAGGAAAGCATCCCCCGCTGTTTCTTTTATTCCGCACCACCAACAACCACAGTGCGCGCGGGCGTGGAAGGGTATAGGAGCAAGGGAAAGGAACCCGCCCGTTTTGGCTGCGGGTGGTTGGTGGTAGTGAGGACCAGGGACCTGCTGCAGGGGTCTCACTGGAATCTCACTGGAGCAGCCGCTGTGTGTGTGTGTGTGGAGGAGGGCAGCAGCCAGTTTGGCGGCCCGTCCACTCCGCCCTCTATGATTCTCCCTAGCGGCCGCCACATATTTCTCCGTCGTCCTCTCCCGCTCTCCCCCATACCACGAGCGCGCTCCCAGCCACTGCCACGTCATCCCTAAGGTCAGCACGAGGCTCCCCCGGAGGATAACGGTCCAGACAGACGGCAAAGAAAAGGGATGGGGTTTGTGTCGTCTCAAAAGCATCTGCCCCATTTTTATCCCGGTTACTTTTATTTGTTTTGCCTCGTGCCCATAGAGTTTTTCTGTGTTTGCCGTATTTTTAATCTTGTCGCCTGGTCTGGGCGCGGGCTGTGTGTGCACTGTTCACGTAAGGGAGTTCTTGAGTTGCGTCTCATCCCCTCTCATATTTATTTTTTTGTTTCCTCCCCCCGTGTAGGTCATTGCTTCCATGCTGTTGGTACGTCACTCTGAGTGTGCAGCTCCAACGCAGAAAGCGATGACGAAACTTGACTTTTTTATTTATCCTCTTTTATTTGTCATCAGGAGGAAAAAGAAGAGGACGAACCTGCGGCGGCGGCAACAGCCAGCAGGCAACGGCTCAGCATAATCCGACGTATGTCGGCATGATGTCATCGTGATGTCACGTCGTTCCCCGCGCCCACTAGCTGCTGCATCGGGCGCCACCCTAACCTCGCCAAGTCGCGCCAAACTTATGCAAATAGTCAAACGAATTCACGGCCAGCCAGCAGCGGGGCCCGAACTGTCAGAGACATGACGCTGTGGCGGCACCGAAGATCAATCTGATTTGCTCCTCCTTCTCTTCTTTTTTCTACCCTCCAATCCTCTTTCCTTCCACTTCTCCACCCCTTTGCTTTTTCGGTCAGCCACGCCATGTCCGCCCTGGACCGTCAGCGTACCGGCATACTGATGAGGCAAATCCAAACAAACAAAAAAACCTCGGCGCATTCTCTCCGTCTCCGGGCCAGAGGGGGAAAGGGGTGGGTGGGGAGGCGCAGCGCACACATCACACAGGGCAGTCTGACGAAAAGAGTACACAGACAGCAAAAATGTTATTCCATTCTAGGCCCAAGTTAAAAAAGTTACCCCACTGAAAACTATTAATTCATGTAGTTGTAGTAGTTTATCTGCAGCTGACGTTTCTAGCTTAGCTTGCCACAGTACTATACCACGGATAAGGAAGTACAAAACACGTACCAACGTCTTCATATTGTATATACATATTCATCTAGTCTCTTACTTCAAACTGTGCAATAGACCTTCAGAAAGTGTTCTCCGCGCAAAACAATTCCAAAGGAAGAAATAAAGTTTACGACACGACATGCAGTTTATGTTTGAATTGCAGGGGGTAACAAACTTTCACTTATTCCCATATTTTCACACGTGTAGCCTATGGTGGATGGTACGCCACGTCGGCCGGCGCAAAAGCTCGTGCCGTATCGCATGCAATGCACTCCCCCCGGCTTAATTCCAGAGGCCACAGCTCGGGCCACACGGTCGCACTCCCTGCCTGTTCCGCCTTTGGCTTGGCGCGCGGTTCTGGTCGCTGCCAGGATTTCGCGCGCCGAGCAGGGCTCCGCGGTGGGTTCTACATGCATACCGAATGAGCGCACCCGAATCTGATCGCGAAACACACACACACACACACACACACACACACACACACACACACACACACACACACACACACACACACACACACACACACACACACGGCGTGGCAGGGTGGGCTGCTCGGGTGGTGGTGGACGGAAGAGCTGATACGTTTAGCGTTTAGAAACCCATCA